CGTTGCAAACAGCATCCCCGAAAAAAATTTTAGCAAGTTTGTGCATTTCATCAAACTTTGCAATTTTCATCAACATGGCAACGAGCCCTCAGATTTAAGGGCTTACAATGGTAAGGGAGCGCGAGCATGGTGCAGCAGACAGCGCACTGATCTACCATACCAAAGGTCCGGGTTCAATCCCCCGACAGGACTGGAAAAATTTGTATACGCTCGTATCTCCTCTGGACGGTTTGGCAAGCCACCAGAGTATATTTGCCCACAGTACCTCTTGCAAAAATATGCCGTTCGGAATCGGCGTTAAACTATAGGTCCAATATGCCTGTGTAAAATCGACATGCGCAACACGGGCATATACGCGTAAGAGGAAAAAACAGATTATAAGTCATATCTATTATACACAGATCATAAGCTATATCTATTATAAGTAGAAGAAGAAGAAGAAGACAGTGATAAGGGTACATTAAACTTAAATCGAAACATAGTATCTTAAAATAAAAATTTTAGGCTTTAATAAAAAAAAAATCATGATCCAACGATGATTTTTCGCGGAGTTATCGTTAGCCAAAGTTGGCCAATTTTTGCCCAAAATTTTTTACGCCATAATTTTTTTGAGCAATGTAGTTTATGAAAAAGTATACGAGATCTGTTCAAAAAGTATCACGAATTTTGTGTTTTTTCAAAAATTATTTATTTATTCATGAATATCTATTTTGTCTCCTTCAAAGTAATCCCCATCAGATATTATACACTTGTGCCAACGTTTTTTCCAATCCTCGAAGCACTTCAAAAAATCATTTTTTGTGATCTTGTTCAGCTCCTCCTTTATCTCCTCAATCGTAGCGTAGCGTCGTCCTTTCATGTGCCTCTTCAGTTTCGGGAACAAGAAAAAGTCACAGGGGGCCAGGTCTGGGGAATACGGTGGCTGCGGCATCATTAGTGTGTTGTTTTTGGCCAAAAATTCGCGCACAAGCAACGATGTGTGAACAGGGGCGTTGGTACGAATTTCGCGGCGACCCGTCTCATGCCCAAATCATTAGTAAAAATCGAATGGCACGAGCCAATCGATATGTTTAGGTCCTCAGCAACTTCTCTAACGGTGATTCGACGATTGGCCAATACTATTTTCTTCACTTCATCAATGTTTTCGTCTGTTGTTGACGTGCTCGGGCGTCCGGCACGCTCTTCGTCGTTCACATCTTCTCGGCCCTCTGAGAACATTTTGTACCACCGATAAACGTTGCTTCGGTCCAAGGTAGCTTCACCATATGCCACAGTCAACATTCGGAATGCGTCCGCGCACTTAATTTTGTTTTTCACACAAAATTTGATACAGATTCTTTGATCCATTTTTTGGAATAGGCAAAAATCGAAGACGAGCCAAAACACGTCCAAGCAAAACAGCTGTCAAAGATAAACTGAATATTCAAAATGGCCGAACTTGTCGGCATAAGTGAGGGACATGAGTACCAACATAACGCCACAAAAAAATCGAAAATCGAATATACGTAACCCGCGGAAATTCAAAATTCGCGATACTTTTTGAACAGACCTCGTATACCTGCGATACTTAGATATCTGGAGATTAAAATAAACTTCTTTATCTATTAATTTAGGAGTACAAAATAAATCTTTATTTCTCTAAAATACCCAGTAAGAAAAATGTTAGCCTACAGATGTATGTTCACAGATTGGCCTACAGATGTATGTTCACAGATTGGCAGCAGATTAGATAAAAATACTGCGGCAGATCCTATTTATACACATTAAATTTAAGTTCTGTCAACAGCGACTACTGACATAACTTTACAGCAGATTGACGGTAAAAATCGAGCAGGACCTGCAGTATGTTCCATAATTATCATTTAAACCTAGTAAACGCCAATTATCAGAACATAACTTTAATGTCCGATATAATAATGTACATGTTACATTTAAAACGTGTGTTATATAAGAAATATATTATTGTGTCGGACATTAAACATCGATGTTATGTTAGTGATACTTAGTGTTTACTGGGAATATATTTAAGGAGGTTCGGTAGTGATGATTTTTTATGATGAAAATTTTTGAAATTTTAATAGATTATTCGGAATAATAGTATTATATCACAACTGCTTTTTTTTTTATATGAAAGAATATTATTAAATTAACATTCTGTCAAAGTTTGAGTGAGCCCCACTACAAATTTCTATTAAAAAATAGCTAAAAATGTGGTTGCAGCAGACGACTTGGCAACGCTGTTTTCGGTGCGCGCTTTGAAATTCAATGTATAGTAAAAACAACTTCTTTTGTAATTTAAAACGTTTTATTGAAAATATTATTTTTATTAACACATTACAACATTTTAATAGAAAAATTTAATACTTTTATAATAATTATTATTTTAGAAAATAATGACTATGTAATAATTGACCAGAGTCGTTTTTTATATTTTCTCTATATGTTTGAAATCTATTTTAAAATAACTCATTGTCAGTATTATATAACTTCTAATCTAGTATATATTATACTCATATTTTATCTTGGATGATATTTTCTAAAATATTCAAAAATTCCAAAATTTTATCCATAATACTGATTTTTTTTATCAAGGGATTACTTCCACCCATCAATAGTAGCTTTAATTTGTCAATTCCTTCGAAATATTTGTCAATTATGTTTTCATAGGCAACTCCGTTCTGACTTAATTTTTTTATAAGCGAAACTGATATCACAGATACATATTTTGCACTCGATTCAACTTTGTTTACATGTGAACATTTTTCACATTTGACATGAAAAATGGGTCCTAATCCCTGAACACATTCGTCAATAATATCAGTCAAATGTAGTTTATGATTACATGAACTGCAAAACATTTTCTTGGCCATACAATCGAAATTAACAACTCTTTCACCGTCAACAGGAATGTCAACTTTGTTCATTTCAACTGAAGAATTTTTAAGACTTTGAGCTTTTTCTTTCATTTCACTTAACATTTTGCCTCGTGTCTATCTACTTTTAATTTTTTAACAAACTTTCCATTAAAACGAATTCTTTCTTTGCCAGTAGCATCCGTAGTAATTTGAAGGTTATTTGTTTTTCTTTTAACTTTACCCGTTTTAAACATCAAAGTCACACGATTTCAACAAGTACATTCATTTAAATTTAACAAATAAATTATTTTTTACAGTCAATTTTCAATTTATTAATTATAATAATTTTAATAGAGTACACAAGTACAATGTCAATAGACGACGACGACGACGTGTCAGCAGCCGAAAAAATTTGCGGCGTTGTCAGACGTTCTCTCTCCCCTTGCCTCTCTAAGATTTCCCCCCGCTAACACTACCGAACCTCTTTAAGTGGTGACAAAACAACATATCCTGTTGAGTTTCTGCAGTCAAACTGCACAGTAAAATTTTTGTGTTAAAAACGATCTACTGAAATTTTTGTGTTTACACCTTTAACAAGGTGAATATATAATAAAAATAAAAGTAATATGTTAATCATTTGAATATGTTAATTTAACATGTACAGAATATATTCGAAATATATTCGATGCAAGGCGTCTGTCCATCTGTCACATATTTGTAGTTTAGGTCAATATGAACAAAAAATTCTCAACTATTTTATAAACAGTACGCAAAATTTCGAGTTGTTAATTATTGAAAATGGCGATGTATAGAGAATTCTTCAATTAATAACTTAAATTTGCGTATTATTTATAAAATTGTACGGGATTTTTTTGTTCAGAATGATGCAAATATATGGTAGCTGTTGTACGTAGCAGCAAGTTCAAGATTCAAGATCCAATATATTGATATCTGTTGCTAGATCGTTAGGTACAACTGTCATATATTTGTAGATTAGGTCACTCTGAACAAAAGGTTTGTACCATTCTGCGAATAACGTGCAAATTTTTGAGTTATTAAATAAAAAATACTCTATACATGGTCATTTTCAAAAATTAATAACTCGAAAATTATGGGTTATTTGCAAAATAATGGGGCCTCTTTTGTTGAAATTAACCTATATACTTATATATATTTGAATACTAATCAAGATATTTCCCATGTTAAAGTAACACCAAAATTTCAGTGGACTGTTTTTAATGTAAAATTTTTTATTGTATATGGTTTGTCCGGAAAATAATGTCAGTGATTTTTTTTACGCGACTGACCGTCAGGGCGCGTTCGGATCGGTTGGGAATGGTAGAGGGGAAAGTCAGCTAACGAATGTTGAGTCACTCAGTCTTCTCCCGCCAGCCGCATAGTAAGGGCATGCGTTTCCGCGAAAGTCATTTTGTGATCTTGTGCAAGTAAAAATGCAGCGCTCGTTAGAACAAAGGATGGCGATCAAGTTTTGCGTTAAACTTGGCAAGACCGCGGCGGAAACTCTTCCAATGATCAAGACAGCTTTTAAAGAAAATGCCCTGTCGGATCGGCAAGTGTTCCGGTGGTACAAGGTTTTTTTGGAAGGCCGGGAAGAGGTCGACGACGAAGCCCGCGCTGGACGGCTATCGACGAGCACCACGGACGACAATGTGACGCGAGTGAAAGAACTTTTGAACACAGACCGACGATTGAATGTCCGTTTACTGTCACAGTTACTGCGACTGAAACGCAGGGTTCAACGCGTCCGGCCGGACATCGTAAAGGACTGGAAGTTGCATCACGACAACGCGCCGGCCCACAACTCCTTCCTTGTCACCAAATACCTGGCCAAAGTAGGGGTACCAACGATTCCCCAGTCTCCGTACAGTCCGGACGTCGCTCCCCCCGACTTTTTTCTGTTTCCGCGCCTGAAAGGACCCATGAAAGTAAAGCATTTCGAGACCATTGAGGGGATCCAAGCAGCTTGCACTGCGGCTTTAAAGGACATTCCGGAGGAGGCCTACCGTGATGCATTCGATGCCTGGAAAACTCGCTGGAGCTGATGTGTCAACGCAGGAGGAACCTATTTTAAAGAATTTTGATGTGTTGTAACGAAAAGTTCAATAAATTTTTTTAATCGACTCAATGACATTACTTTCCGGACAAACCATGTATGTCATCACTTTCTGTTAGCAAATTCTATTGTATTTCCGCTAGCAAGATGCCGAAGAAATTTACAATAGACTCTGTGCAATATCTGCTTCTACAGTTTTGGTTATCTGGTTATCCGAAATATGGCGAAATATTCATAAACGTTCAAATGATAAACTCATATTTTAATTTACAGACATAAATTGGTACATATAACTGATCCGATAAGAAAACGAGCTGCGTCATCTTTCGAGAATCATGATTATAATATGGAATGTGATACTTGGCGATGCGAAGAACGGCGATTGGAACTGCAAGAGCAAGCTACTGCCGTGAAAGAATGCATTCTTAGTCACAAGAAAGCAATAGAGTTTGTACATGTATTTATATATACGATATATTCGTGCACGTAGTACTATAGTATATACGTCGTGTAATCTTGATGGAATTATAAAAGATATTAACACTATTATAGTGTTTGTGTTACGCGATTGTTTTGAAATCCTTCAGATATCTTGCAAATCTTCCTTATTAATTAGATGTGCGCGATTATTACAATACATTTACGCGTGGAGTCTCGCCGTTGCGGTTAGTACAAATGTGATCATCATAAGTATCTCGGCAGTTCAAGTAAGTTAGGATAGAAAAGACAATTTTACTTGCGAATATTTGACTTTCCTTCTCGTTATTTAGTTAATGAGCAAATTGTTTCGATGGACTGAGATGGCGATGTCTGGTATATACGTAATTGGTGAACTGATACACATATTTTTTCTCAGCTTAATGGCGCAATTTATATTTGACCACAGTTTAAAAGTTCGCGAATCGGCGTGAGTAATTGAATATGTACTTCGACCGCAAACATTACGTTTACATGAAATATATTAAAAGCGGTAGGTTTGCAGGTATTCATGCTCTTGGTACAATATGCCTACCAAGATTCAAAAAGATGTTGTAATGATCCTAATGAGAAGCCGTTTACCATGCAAGGTGATGGCTGGACAATTGTTTGTAATGTCACTGGAAAACTTTTGTGCGGTATGAATGCTTGACAATTCATTTGTTATTCATTTGTTATTAAAGTTAATCTAAATAATATATATTAAAAATTCTTTCCTTTTCTTTAGATATTGCAGACATCGATGTCGTATTTTACGGTGTTAGCTTCTTTTCGATAAATGTCCGCATATATTTTTTAATATAACTGATGTCTTATTTTTCTCTCTCTCTCTCTCTCTCTCTCTCTCTTTCTCTCTCTCTCTCTCTCTCTCTCTCTCTCTCCATTTCTATCTTTAGAATAAAAAATAAAAGTTATATTTATTAATAAAATATATATAGGGTGTCCCAAAATTCACGCAAGAAGTAATTTTCATAGAAAACACAGGTTTATTATTAAAAATTGTAAATTTTTTATTGATTCATAAAGTATACAGTATAGGGTTATGTATGGAATAGTATATCGGATAAATGGCCTCCACGGCTTTGCTGGCATATACGCACTCTTGTTGAAATTTTCCATGACCGTTTTGCATAAATGTGGCTGAATTTCGTTGATACAGCGCTCAATTTTCTCCTTTAAGGCGTAGGTAGTCGTAGGCTTGTTGGCATAAACCTTAGACTTCAAAAAACCCTAAAGAAAAAAGTCCAACGACGTTAAATCACATGATCTAGGCGGCCAATTCTGATCGCCAAAACGGGAAAGGAAATAACTCATGCAGTAATTGAATTGTTTCTTGGGCTGTATGTCATGTGGCACCGTTTTGTTGAAACCATATGTCGTCCACATCCATATCTTGCAATTTAGGCACAAAAAACTGGATTATCACGTTGCGATAGCGAGTACCATTAACTCTTATTGCCTGACCAGCCGCATTTTCAAAGAAGAATGGTCAGATGATGCCTCCAATCCAAAATCCGCACCAAACAGTGACACGTTGTGGATGCAAGATCACTAATTGATCCAGTCTCCCTAAATTTTTTAATAATCTCTTCACAGTTAATGAACATAAATCACTATTCCGACCATATTTTGTACGAAAATTGCGAATTGTAGCTGCCAAACCTTCATTATTTTTTAAATATTGCTCAACAATGAAAACGTGTTGTTCTTTCGTGTAGCGCTCCATTTTTAATAACCCTGAACTGTCAGTTGTCACGCTGTCTTTTTTTTCGTTGGCAACACTTTACCACACAAATGGCGCAAAATTCAAATCTTGCGTGAATTCTGGGACACCCTATATATGTGCGTGCGTGTGCGCGTGATCCGAATTAAATATTTTTTGCCGTTTATATATTTAAGAAGTTTCATAATTTTAAATGGCAAAAATTGAAATAAACGAAATATTGGGTCTATGCATAATTCCGTAGTGAAATTCCAATAGATGTCGTTTGCAGTTGTTTTTCCGCACGCACACGTGATAAACATATGAAGTGTCATACATTAAGTGAAAGCTAAAATTTGTGCCGACATTTTAAGAAAATATTCATCGAGATCCGTGACGTATACGAAGTTTAATTATATTTTAAATATGAAAGGAAAAAACATGCATTTTTGGTGCATTTCGCCTTTTTATTTCCGAAAAGGCAAAAATGCGTCACAAACTCACAAAAAGATATGCGCCATGTACGGAGAGAATGCCGTAAGTGAAAGTATCGGAAGTGGTTTGCGAAATTTCATTGCGGAGATTTGAATCTCCAAGATGCTCTTCGCTCTGGTCGGCCAGTCACTACTGATGTCGATCAAATCAAGGCTTTAATCGACTACGACCAACATTTGACGACTACAGAGATTAGACATAACCTCAACATTGACCAATCAACTGTTTCGAGACATTTACGGAAGCTTGGGATATTAAACAAGTTTGATGTTTGGTGTCACACGAAAAGAATGTAATGGACCGAATTTCAGCTTGCGATTTGCTGCTCAAATGCCATAAGAACGAACCATTTTTAAAGCAAATGATCACTGGAGATAAAAAGTGGATTGTCTACAACAATATCAGTCGAAAAAGATTATGGTCGAAGCGCGGGGAGGCTACTCAGACGGTCGCAAAGGCTGGATTATACCCGAAGTAGGTCATGCTCAGTTTCTGGTGGGATTGGAAAGGAATCGTCTATTATGAACTGCTGCCACCCAATAAAACGATTGATTCGACCAAGTACTGCTCACAGTTGACCAAATTAAAGCGAGCAACCGATCAGAAGCGGCTCGAATTGGCGAATAGAAAGAGCGTTGTGTTCCACCAGGACAATACTAGACCACACGTTTCTCTGATAACGCGGCGAAAGTTATTGCGGTTTAGGTGGGATGTTTTGGTGCACCCATCATATAGTCCGGACCTTGCACCTTCAGACTATCACTTGTTCCGGGCGCTACAGAACAATTTGAATAACAAAACCTTCAGTTCCTTGGACGTCCTCAAAAACTATTTGGATGATTTCTTTGCCCAAAAATCTCAGGACTTCAATGAAAGAGTGATAATGAAGCTCGTGGAGAGATGGCAGAAAGTCATTGAACAGAATGGAACATATTTAATTGATTAAAATCGCTTTCTTTGCTAAATATTTTGCGTTTGAAATTTATTCGATTTTTGTTATGGAATTATGCATAAACCTAATATATCTTAGACTTTGGTATTAAATGCTTAATTTTTTTTTTATAAATTACAATTTAATGAAAACTTTTTGTTCGGGAAATTGTACTTAAATAAATAACAATAATTTTTTATCAGTGCATAAAACATTTTTTTGACATGAGCAAACAATCAAAATTTCATTTTCTCTGACAAATGTACTTATACTGAAAAAAATAATTATGCTATTGTAATAAAATTATCGTTTCCATTTCATATTCGTTGTAACAGCAATAATGTTTAGTGGCATAAACAAATTAGCAAATTATTCTTAATTAATTTACTGTTAAAATAAAATAATGTGTTTTTATATTTACTAATTTGAATTTACAAGAAAATAATTTGTAGATTTCAGCAAAATAATCCAGCAAATAGCAATTAGTGTTCTTAACAAATCGTTTTGCGTCCATATAATAAGACTGACAGATTTTGCTGCGATAGCATTAAGTTTGATGTGCCAGCAAATGATTTTTCTCCGTGTGCCAATTTTATCTTTTGCAATTTACACAAAAAATACTCACTTCCAATTCTGTTCGTGTATAAGAAACAGAGTATATATAGTATTTCAGCACACATACACATAATATTTCAACATGTTGTAGCACGTTTTACTATAACTCTACTATTCTGGCTACACACGATATATTCATTCCATTTATGCATTTTCATATGTCTGGTTAGAGAAGGAGTTAGGGAAACTCTACCATCACTTTTGCCACCCTAACTACATGTTTCAATGAATATTGTTGCGCCATGAAAAATTCATATCTTGAACACTGCAATTTCTATTCAAGCGATGGACACGTTCGTATTTAGATAAAATAGAGATCTACATTGTAACAAGACCTGCACTGCATTATCCTCCCGCGATTTTGTCAGAAATATCCGATACCTGTGCGGGTAAACATGAGTACGTTATTCGATACGCACTACTATTATCTGACAAAATTATTTTGCTCGATCGTCGGTCTATGGCCGCATCAATCGCAGATTAGAAGGAAGACCATTCATGCGATGCACATGCTAATATTGCTCACATATGTTCCGCCTCAGGTAAAGATCGTATATGTATTCTTCCTTACTGCTGAAATATAAATATAACATATCTCATATTCTCCAATAGGAAAATGTTTATGAAATTACAATGTTGATGAAATCTTGTATGGAATTTGTAATGCAATTATGGGGGTATATTTAAGAAAATAGATGTAAAAATTGATTTTTAAAATATTTATTAAAACATTAATAACTATTATAATTAATTTGTAAATAATTTGTAAATAATATTTCGGTAAAACAATCGCAATATAGCGAATCATCTTAGCAAAATATTTATAAAATTAAATTTATAAGAAAAAATTTTTAGGAAAGAAAATAATTGCTTAATAATTAAGAAAAATATTTCAGCTTCGTTATGGTGAAAATATTTAAAAATATAATTGTGTCTGAAGGAGTCAAATTGATGCATTTATATGTAAAAATATACAATCATTCCTGAATTATAGTTTAGAAATATTATGTGCGCACGTGAACAAGAGTCTCTTATAAGCGTAAAGTTCAATTCAAAATAACACAACGGCGCATTAACAATAACACAATGATTCTTCAATTTATTGCTTCCTTGAAGGGGTACAACACACGCGTGAGAGTTCCGCGACGCACTCACTCTCAGAAACGTTAACAAGAACTTAAAGTGTGAACGCAAATTCAATAACACTCGGTAAACTTTGTAAATATCGCACGCAGTTATTATAAAGAAGTATTTCAATGGATAAATTGCGATTGACGACGAGCAATCGACAACGCGTAACACGATCACGAATACGTCCTGTCACAAACTATGCAGAAACGTACTGAATCGGGTTCAGAAGCTCCCGATTCGTTCCCGGATGTTTCGCTTTCTTTTTAATCTCGCGTTTCTAAGACACGAAAATATCAATACAATAAAAGGAAAATAACGCGCGTGCCTAGCGACAGCCGACGCGATGTTGTCAGCTAATCGCAGACAATCGCCTCTCGCGAGCGACAATATATCGCACGTATCACGGGTGTACCGTGTGGCTCGCAACATATTGCAATATGAAATATTATACAAAGTATCCCAAACTCTCGGTTCCCATAGTGTACAAATAGAATAGGTGAAACTGAGTAAAAAAGTCATGTGTCATTTTGCAAAATGGTACATGACTTTTCTATGCAGTTTTATCCATTCTACTTGCATACCACGGAAACTGAGATTAGTTTGGGACACCCTGTATAATCTTTATGTCAAAGTTTTAAAAAAGGAAGCGCGTTTAAAACACACACAAATAAAAAATAAATACAAAGTTTATTTAAACATTTATACGCCACTCACATATTCCCTTTTTTTTTATTTGAATTGATGAACTTCTAACTAATTTAATAATTTGAATAGAAATATTTTTTTTGCAATTACTGCAAATATTAAAATGTTATTGCTACATTAAACATTGTAGAAAATATTCTAAATTACGATTTTGCTTTTAAGAATTGAAATTTGTATAAATATTGAATATTATACAATAATATCTCAAAGAAATATCCCAAATTGAATTTGTGTCTAATTTTATTTTTAAATTTATTTTGAAATTTTTAATTAAGACAGAACCATTACATTATTACGAGTCATTTTAATGTATTATTACGAAATTTTTCACCAATTTATGATGTTATTATTATGCTATGTTTTTATAATTTACCTATTGGGGTAGATATGACAAAAATTTAATCGAGCGTGGTATGACGTGAAATATATTAAATATGTCTAAATAAGTATGTTTATCGTGTTGTAGTATCGAAGTTCATTGAAATGAGGCTCTTTCATTAACAATTAATATGAAATCCTAATATAAATTGTCCTAAGTCTTAATGTCGAGACAAATGGACATGGAATTTTTTTATTCGTCTTTTTTTAATTTAGATGAAGAGATTACAACAAGTGTGGGGAAATAACATGGACGCAGTATGCATGTGCATGCCACCCATCTTTACCATTTTTCTATGCTTGTCCAAAACAATTACTATTATGTTATTTGAACCAGAGGTATATTAATTGCATTATTCTGATAAAAATATTCTCAGAATTTTTCATATAGTCTTTTGGAATTCTCACAAAATTGAATTCTACGACTTCTTTAGAAAACTTTTCAGATATTTTATATAATTAGAAATTTATATATAATTTCAAATTTCTTTGGAACATTATGTTTTTGCAAGATATTTTTTCGCACACGATCACATGATATATTTGAATCACTATCAAAACAACATACAGCACATCAGATACAGATATATTACGACTTAAGTATTTAGCTTATCTTCCTAAAATACCAGATGAAGATGTTACTATGTCAAATTGAAACAGAATGGAAATTAGTTTCGAGGGGGAAGAAAAACATAATTCTAGCGACTTATGCCTCGAAAACGAGGAGATTATGTATCGCATATACAAGTATGGTAAATAGGTCATATAGAAGCAAATATGACGAATACATATGATGAAAATGATAGTACTTTTATCTTTTCAGGTATAATGTGTTATGGACTCATGTGCTTTATCATGGCGCCAACGATCACACCAGTGTTGGACATCGTTTTACCTCGTAACGAAACGCGCATAAGAGGCTTAGGATTCGATCTTGATTATGGTGTTGACATGCAGGTGTATTGGTTTTGGTTATGGTTACATACTAACATAGCAGGAATTGTAGTTATGTTTAACATCATTGCCGCGGATATAATGTTTATTACACTCACCATTCACACGTGCTACTTGTTTGCAATAGTAAGGTAAATATACAATACCAGAACGGATATTTGAAGTTAAAAAAATGTTTCTCTTTTTACGTCTATCCCTTATTTAGTTATTATTTTATTAATATTGTAAAAAGTTAGTTCATAAAATATATTTTGATTTTCTTAAGATAACTGAAACATAAAATACTTTTGCATGCAGATGATAAACTCTTCGCCTTATTCTCAGATATAAATTAGAACATGTAACTGATTCAATTGGAGAACGCAGCGTGAGATCTTGTGATATTCGTAATTTTAACATCGAATACAACCCTTACCAATGTGAAGGAGAGCAAATGAAATTAGAACAAGCTACTGCCATAAAAGAATGCGTCCTTAGTCACAAGAAAGCGATAGAGTTGGTAACTGTATTCAAATATATACACAACGTACTCATTTACGTATTGAATGATCTTGATAGATTTATAAAGCGTATTTACCATACTGAAACTCTTCAGATATCTTGTATATCTCTTTTAATTAGATCCGCACAATTATTACACTACATTTATGCATGGAGCCTCCTCATTGGAGCAGGCTTGAATGTAATCACCATAAGTATCGCGGCGGTCCAAGTAAGTTTAAGCGAAAAGAATCCTATTTCGCATATACTTCATTTTGTTTCTTCACATTTAGCTAGTGAGCAAAATGTTTCAATGGGCCGAAATGATGATGTCCGCTGCATTCGTAATTGGCGTAATGATGCACTTGTTCTTCCTTAGTTTAATGGCACAATTTATACTGGATGAAAGTATAAACATTCACGAATCAACGTGAGTTATCGAACTCTTTTGACAATTAAGAATGTACTATATTTGTGATATTAAAAACAACAGGTTTTGTTACAGATATTCGAGTTCTTGGTACAATATGTCTGCCATGGTACAAAAAGATTTCATATTGATTTTAATGAAAAGTCGTTCACCGTGCCAGTTGATGGCTGGAAAATTGTTTGTTATGTCGCTAGAAAATTATTGCGCGGTATGTGTGAAAACTCGGAGGTACACTTGAAATCAATGATTCGTTAACGTGCTGCGGGATTAGGAAGAATGCTTCTCTTTCCATAGATTATTCTCATTCGTCAGGATAGCTCTGCAACGTATAATCAACGAATCAATGATTTCGAATATATATTTATCGTTTATATAATATGTTTATATGATATCTAAATATTATATTGTCAATCCCCTTATTTACTTTAGATACTGCAGACGTCGATGTCCTATTTTACAGTGTTAGCGTCTTTCCGATAAATCTCTGCAGCTACTTTATTCGAAAATAAATAACGATTGTTATCTTTATCAGAAAAAAAAAATGCGACATTTACAAGAGAAGTGCACGAAATGATAATCGCGAATGGCTATATATTATTGGAAAGGTTTTGACTAGCAGACATTACCTGTACAGTAGTTCGCTTGAATGATGCCTGTAGAGGGTGCTATATGCAATATAAGTTATACAGGGTAAGAAAAAAAGGTACACGAGGCATTTTTGAAAAAAAGGTTTTGTACAAGAGTTGTAGGATTTTAAATAGCGCATTACATAGTAGTATTAGTATGACTTTTAATAGCATTGTCAAGGTCACGTGAAGGTCACCTTGAATTTTTTTAATGGAACCTTCATTTTTTATTACATATTGTTGTAGCTTACCTCAAGAGTTTTTTAAAACACTGGAATGAAGTATTTTTTTATAAAGTATTTTTCGAATTATAGAGTTTGAAAGTTAGTACCGCCGATATTAGCATTATCCAAAGTGTACTGCATGGAGGTTGCACGGTCGAATTTACACCTTTGTGTGTATGTGTGTGTGTGTGTGTGTCACAACGAGATAAAGACCTCACGATTCGTCACTTTCGCGGTATTTAACCCTTTGAGTGCTATGGATGCATATACGAGGTCTGTTCAAAAAGTATCACGAATTTTGTGTTTTTTCAAAAATTATTTATTTATTCATGAATATCTATTTTGTCTCCTTCAAAGTAATCCCCATCAGATATTATACACTTGTGCCAACGTTTTTTCCAATCCTCGAAGCACTTCAAAAAATCATTTTTTGTGATCTTGTTCAGCTCCTCCTTCATCTCCTCAATCGTAGCGTAGCGTCGTCCTTTCATGTGCCTCTTCAGTTTCGGGAACAAGAAAAAGTCACAGGGGGCCAGGTCTGGGGAATACGGTGGCTGCGGCATCATTAGTGTGTTGTTTTTGGCCAAAAATTCGCGCACAAGCAACGATGTATGAACAGGGGCGTTGGTACGAATTTCGCGGCGACCCGTCTCATGCCCAAATCATTAGTAAAAATCGAATGGCACGAGCCAATCGATATGTTTAGGTCCTCAGCAACTTCTCTAACGGTGATTCGACGATTGGCCAATACTATTTTCTTCACTTCATCAATGTTTTCGTCTGTTGTTGACGTGCTCGGGCGTCCGGCACGCTCTTCGTCGTTCACATCTTCTCGGCCCTCTGAGAACATTTTGTACCACCGATAAACGTTGCTTCGGTCCAAGGTAGCTTCACCATATGCCACAGTCAACATTCGGAATGCGTCCGCGCACTTAATTTTGTTAGATTCTTTGATCCATTTTTTGGAATAGGCAAAAATCGAAGACGAGCCAAAACGCGTCCAAGCAAAACAGCTGTCAAAGATAAACTGAATATTCAAAATGGCCGAACTTGTCGGCATAAGTGAGGGACATGAGTACCAACATAACGCCACAAAAAAATCGAAAATCGAATATACGTAACCCGCGGAAATTCAAAATTCGCGATACTTTTTGAACAGATCTCGTATGCGTTTAGCTCCGCTTGGCGCGCGGTTCGACTATCGCCGGCGCGTGGCTTGCGTTGTGCGTAAAATTAATAAAAATAATGAATGTTCGAAAATAACTTTCCTGTTCAATTACATTATTCAAGTAATTGCGCCTTGCGTATTCAATCGACAGAGTTTGCATAAGCGAAAAAAGTATTCTGTTCCTAGCGATCAAAATCGCTAGGCGCGCGCCATGCGGATTGTTTGTGCCAGGAGTATTCAGCATTCAAAAGGTTATATCCAAATCCTCTCTGCCGCGCGCGCGCGTACGTATGTGTTTACGTGCGTGTGCGAGTGTGTGTGTGCGTGTGTGTGTGCGTTTAATAAAAAACGTTCCAAGTTATAAGTTATTCTATTTAATTAAACATAAATCGTGTTTTTTATTTCATTTTAGGAGTGAAAATATACATGAAGAGGGAAGAGAAAGCGAACGAAATAACTAATGGTAATGATAACGTTCAAAAAAGCAATCAACAAAGCAGTTAACAAAGAGGTTGATTGGAAAAATCATATGAACATTTGATGCATGTAGGATTTTGGTTACAAATCTGGCAAATGAGTTCTTCAAAAGAAAAATTTATGTCTTTTACTCTTTAAACTCCACATATGGTATATCAAATCTCCTTTTGAACCATACGAACCTAAACATCGGTTGATATATTGAAGAATGAATTTGGTTTAAAATCAAGCTGTGAATTTTCAATATATTTTTATGTTTGTGCAAAAATGCTTGATTTCCAGTAATAAAAGCGTGTTCCGTAAAACGCTTGATAAAATCTTTCCATTAATGAAAACAAAATAGATTGAGTGGTTGCATAAAACCTATTGAACCTTCCGGCAAAATTTTTAATGTAACAGTAACATTATCAACTTAATACAGTTTGTCTGACCTTTGAGCGCTTCACGAATCTATAATCAGAACGATCTTTTTTTCTGGGTTTCATTCAACGACGGGTTTAAAAATATTTTGAAAAAAATCTCCTCAAACGAGTCTCTTGTCTAGTTTGTCAGATTTGGAACACCGAAGTACGAGGTTTTTGTAATTGGGAAGTTATGTAGTCGCAGGAAATTGACCATAAACTTTCTGGAAGCAGATCAGCATTGGCGATATCAATTTTCCCTCCATAGGAAGAATCGATGTAATAGTATAGGAATAAATTCGAGCGTTTAATTGAGTGATAACTGCTGTCGTAATTTTTTCACCTTCAAATGATAGCGTGCATTTGTAAAGTGGCGTGTAGTTAAATCCCGACTGATCGGTATTGAATATTTCACTTGCATCAAACTCTGAATAAATATTATCAACAAAATTGAGATGAAATTCAATGCCTTTTTTCGCAGTCCGCTTGACTTAGTGTTGTTTCTTGAAGTACAGATTTTTCTTAACGAAATACGAAAAGTATTTTTAAATTCGTTGATCCATTGCAAAGACGCTTCGAAACCTATCAATCCAATTAATTTAGCATGGTACAAAGTCCACCGCCGTATAGTCTAGTCATGAACTGGAATTTTTTCCTGACGGGCCTGTATAAATTGCTCCTAACAATATTTTGTTACTGACAGCCATTATTCCCGATGTATGCTCTGTTGTACAACATATTTCTCACATCTACTTATGTAGGCAGGATGTTTTATTTTGGGGAATAGAGCTTTAATTATATTAAAAGACCAATTTGAATACTTCTTATGTGTTTCTACGACACGACGCGCATATGTAAGAGGTATAAAAGATAAAGATTTTTTAGAAGATGAATGTTTCTTTATAGAACATAAATTTTGATTTCTTTATAGAAGATGAATTTTAATTTTTTAGAAGATGAATGTTTCTTTATTAGAAGATGAATGTTCTTTCTCTTTATAAATTGGCTCGATTTCGCCATCTTTAAAAATAGCATCAGTGTATACATCTGTAACCTCTTTAAATTTTAATTGATCTTCGTTATCCATGATTTAACCATGGAATCCAAGGAATTAACCATGGATATTATTTTTTCCGTTAGTTAAATCTCTTTACGAGATGGGTTGCCCTCAACAGTGGTGTAATTCTTGAGTTTTTGCTTAAGAAGCTCAAATATTTTTAATGCCCTAATAGCCATTTTGTACAGAACACAAAGAAACAAATATTTAAATGACGCAAAGAAAAAATAAAAGTACAAAGAGAAAATGCATGGAAAAAATCTAATGTTTGTTCAAGAATCAGCCTAGATCAGCGTACAAAATTTGCAGCCCAAAAAATCACGCACAGAAGAACACCTGCGCACATGGAATAAGCCCCGATCGGCACTGGGCCGTACAAAGGCCAAAAGCGTACTTCAAGAGATTTCCAAAATACCATAATATATTATCTTTCCAATAAAAGTATTTTTTGAATTATGGAACTTAAAATTTACGGTATTGCTGGCATTAGCATTACCCAAGATATACAACATGGAGATTAAAAAATCAAATTTATATTTTTGTTGTACATGTGTTTAACACATACCATGTGGTAAATGAGGTTGAAATTCAACCTCATACCATGGTAAATGAGGTTGAAATTCAACAGTTTAACCTCTACGTTGTATACTTTGTGTAGTGCTAATGCTAACAATACCTAAATTTTAAATCCCATAACTCGAAAAATACTTTATAAAAAAATACTTTGTTATAAAGTATATAGTATATATACTATAATACTATAATATTATAATACTAGTATATAGTATAAAGTTATAGTTTTGAAAAGCTTTTGAGGGAAGTTATAACAATATATAATAAAAAGCAGGGGTTACATTAAAAAAATTCAAAGTGACCTTCACCTGACAATGACGACACTATTCAAAGTCATATTAATATTATTATGTAATGTATCATTTAAAATCCTACAATTTTTATATGAAATATTTTTTTCGAAAATGTCTTATTTGACTTTTTCCTTACCGTATATCCGTATCCCCTGTAACTTATATTGCATATAGCGCCCTCTACAGGCACTATTCAAGCGAAATATTGTACAGGTAAAGTCTGCTAGTTAAAACCTTTCTAATAATATACAACTATTCGCGATTATCATTTCGTGCACTTCCTTTGTTAGCAATAAAATATTTATGAAATATTTATTTTAATATATTTCATGTATATAAATGTTTAACATGTCTTATAGCAATTCGTAATTTGTGCGCGGATTCATGTG